TGATCTTTTCCTAGAAGTTTCAATCCATCTCCTTTCTCTGTAATCACTTCTTACTATTTCTAATTAAGTGAAATATTTGTAGGTCTGTCTTTGAAAACCTCCTCCAATATACATGCATTTTCTCTTCGCGAAAATTATTTTCTGGTCCAAAGGCCATCCTGACCTACGCGGAGGATATGCCAATCAGCTGTTTTGCTTGATGATGTTTTCATTCGGAAAAGGATTCCATGTTCACGCATTCAGATTATATAGCTGGAATTAGCGTGTTTATGTAAAAAATCAGATATTTTATAGAACAGTTTTATCAATTTACAACGCAACATGTATCCTTCGAAAGAAATAACCCCAGTTCACTATGCAGAAAAATATCATCTTATACAATAATTTGAGATCAGATCATACTAATACTACAACAGAATAGCTCGCACTGTCGAAAATCCCATGTCAAAATAAAGCGAAAGTGGAGGAACTACTTTGCCTCTCGGATCGCGGGTGCACGGCGGCCCCACTGGCAGAGGCCTCGGAAAGTTTTTCAATGTATAGCTTTGCAGGGACCATGCAGACCTCGTCTTCGTTTCGGCCAAATTATGTCACAATAATAGTAAGTTGATATGTGGAGACCTTGTGATGTTTGCCTATTTCTCCCCATCCACCGGGTGGATTGAGGAGTTGAAGGGAAGGCTGAGGTGGATTAGTAGGCAAAACCAAGCTCAGGTCTTCCCCTTAGTTGCGACAATGGCAGCTCAGCCTCTCAGCGGAAGGCGGAGAAGCCTTTTGTATTTTTCCGTTTTAATCGAGAATTTGAACCCCTACACGAGTCTCTACGCTCATTTATATATGTGCGTGTCTTCGCATGTCCATTTCAGACGTCCTAACAGAGCTGCTGGAAACCGAGACGAGATTCTTATAATAGAAATCGAGGATGCGGCCTAGCAATGGGGGTCGGGTCAAATCGTGGTATGCGTTTTTATCCCCAAAAACCTCTCTACTCACTTGACCACGTTACTTATTGGGGTTTTCAGACCAACGTGCAAACTGCCAGTTCGTTGATGGTGATTCATTTCCACACGGGGGGGATATGAAAGAGTTTGGGGTTTGTCATTCTTTGTTGAACTTGTGTAAAAATTAGTATGTTTTGGATTGCATGCTACCCACACCATCTTCAGAAAACTTGGAAAGTGTCGTAATTTCCTCGATATTTTTGGCATATTACAGGAGATGTGAGTCCAAGCATTATTATCTGAAATTTGGGCATTTGAGTGATTTTCATTCAAGTGCAATAATCGTCCCCTCTATATTGGGCCTTAGGGTGGGTCGTGGGTGTGTGTGTGTGTCGTGTGTATTGAGCATAGGTAGAATTGTTTTCAGTTATTGTGGCGGCAGCTTGGTTTTGCACTAGATAATTAAGCAATTGTGTTCTGAACACAGAGAATGAAAAGGTCATGATTGCTCCTCAAGTTCTTGCAGCCATGACTTGTTTATTTTTGATTTTGATGATTCTAAATTTGTACCTCATGTCCCATATTTATATATTAACATTTGTCAGTATTGATTGTCATTTTATAGTGGAAAAGAAATATGATATTCTATTTCTCGTTCATTATAATGCAAATTTGAATTACATTTATGATTTTTGTCAGGTTGAAGGTAGGTCAGCACGCCTAGAGATGGCCCTTACTCGTACACTGTGAGCAGATTGGTTGTTGATACAAGCGCGTGGTGAATGATGTATTTTTGAATATATTTTTCAGTGTAGTATTATTGACAAAATAATCTTACACGATTAATACAAAGATAGCGCCTTTCAAGAGTAAAATCAAGATAGTACTTTTAGAACGGAGGTAATCTGGCACATTATAGCAACTGTAGAGGGATAGATCACACACACTAGACAAATGATAGTATTCGTTGGATTTTCAATTAGCACACTGAAGCGGTATGCATACTGCGGTGCACCAATATACTGTTCCAGAAAGATAAGGGCATGGAAAAGCTTCACATAAAGCAATATCATCAACGACAAAGACGTATACCCATACACCACCATGCACGTACACCCACACCCTTGATGGGTAATGTTTTACACACAGATACATCACACACACACCTCTAAGCAGGAACCACAGTAACAATAATGCACGTACACGCTAACCACTTATACAATAATTCAACAGGGCACAACAGAAATGGGCACAAATTAACATTTATTGCATAATGACCCACATTGCATACCCATCAGCGACAAACATCACGTACCCTACATTCACGTCACTGTCACGTCCCACTACAGTTAGGTATGGACCCACACATGTACCTCCCACACTACATCTCACTTTCAACAGCTTCAACACTCAACTCACATTTACACCTATAACACCTACACACCTACAAACCTACAACCTACACACCCACACATACCTACACCTTCCTCACACATACCCTACACCGTCCCCCCATACCTATACACCCTAAGCACATACATACAAACCCCAACGCACCTATGGTACACATGCCCCACTACACCCCACGCGCACCACCTACACCCCACGCGCACCCTCACCCCCGCGCACACCTACACCCCACGCGCACACCTACACCCCACGCGCGCACACCTACACCACCGCACACACCTACACCCCACGCGCACACCTACACCCCACTCGCGCAGACCTACACCCCAACGCGCACGACCTACACCCCACGCGCACACCTACACCCCACGCGCACACCTACAACCCCCGGCACACCTACACCCCACTCGCACACCTACACCCCACAGCACACTCCCCCCACAACAACTGCACCCTACAACTCCCCACACACAACTACAAACCCACCATGTCACACCCAGCCACACCTACACTTCACACAACACACACACACACACACACACACCCCACACACACACACACACACTTCACACACAACACCTTCCACACACACACACTTCACACACATACCCACACACTTCACCACACAACAACACACAACAGCCACACACACACACCACACACCACACACACACACACACACACACTCACACACACCACAACACTTCACACACACACACACTTACACACACACACACTTCACACCCA